CCATAGGAATTTTTACATTTAAACATCAGGAAACATGGACTTTAATTTACTTCTTCCCAAGAGATATGATAGATGATGGAAAACACCATATACTGAAGCAGAAACCTTCCGTAAACAATAATGAAAATACCATATTGTATTTTAATATGTTTCCCTTATTTTTGGAATTTAAAAAATACAGCATGCTTTAAAAACCTTACAACAGTTAAATTATGGGTGCATAAACGGGTAATCTCTTATGACACATTTAAAAACTGAGTAAGGAACAATGATAGTACAAAATATTTCAAACCTCTTTTTATTCAGGTGTGTATGTGTGTGCATGTCTTACACACCTATACTATGGATAATTGGATTTGCCTATTTGCAAGATAATACTGTAATAATTTCATTCTAGAATATACACGTTGTATATTTTAATACCTCTGATAATAGAATATGTCTTAGAGCTGTTCTTTTTTTTTTTTTTTAAGATTTTATTTATTTATTTGACAGAGAGAGAGATCACAAGTAGGCAGAGAGGCAGGCAGAGAGAGGAAGGGAAGCAGGCTCCCTGCTGAGCAGACAGCCCGATGCGGGGCTCGATCCCAGGACCCTGGGATCATGACCTGAGCCAAAGGCAGAGGCTTTAACCCACTGAGCCACCCAGGCGCCCTGACTTAGAGCTGTTCTTGACCTGAGTTCAAATTGCTTTTTTCTGGAAAGAGTTTGTTTTCACTTTGGCCAGATACATGTGTCTCTCCTAACCTGACACCTCTTTATTTTATTTTTTTTAAAGATTTTATTTATTTATTTGACAGAAAGAGATCACAAATAGGCAGATAGGCAGGCGGGGGTGGGGGGAGGAGGCTCCCTTCTGAGCAGAGAGGCCGATGTGGGGCTTGATCCCAGGACACTGAGATCATGACCCGAGCCAAAGGCAGAGTGGCTTAACCCACTGAGCCACCGAGGCACCCCTGACACCTCTTTAAACTAAAGTCTTGTCTGAGGTATTTGGTCCACACTGTTGGTATGAATTCAGAAAGTAAATGTTTTGAGTATCACCCTGTGATTTAAGAAGTGGTTTTCCCCTTTTCTACCACCCATGATTATAGGTGAAACAAGCAAATGTCCTTGCTGTCTTCTTCATAGGAGTTTATTTCTTCTTTTCACTAATAGTGAAACACTGTAACCTGGGTTGATGCTGGCATCACTGTTAGAGTATCCATCTTGGAGAGTTTTTCTTTCTTAGCAGTCCTTAAAAAATGGTGCATCTTATATTCAGTGACATCTTAGACTTGATACAATTTGGTAATTTATTAAAGTTAAGGTTTTTTTTTTTTTTTTTTTTTTTAGGGCTGACATCATGCTCATCTATCAAGTTTTGAGACCTCTCTTGGGGCTAAATGCTCAGATTCAGTTGGAATTTCTATATGTATAAAATAAGCTAAAACAGAGACCAGATTAGCATTGCTACAAAATACTAAGTTTACAGCTCTGCAGACCACAAAGATGACATTGCGAAGATGTTTTATGAAATTCTGGAACAATGCTGATGCCAACCGAGACATAAATTGAGATGAGCCAGTTGCAGAGATAATTAAGAAGATTGAATTCTGTGGATGTTTTACTGTGCAATGCTAGAAGGGAAATGCATGTATGTAGAACAGCCAAGAGAATTAACACAAAGTAAATTCAATGATGGTACCGAACTAAAGTTAGGACATAAAATATTTCAAAGATTCAAAAATCCAAGATGATGTTAACCTTTTTAAATGTTGTTATATATGGTTTGTCCCTTTCTGGGCATGGAGATCATAATACTACTCATTCTTGTTTAGTAAAGAAGGGAGAATGGTTAAATGGACTCAGCCACTCATGCTCTTGGAGGCAAAGTCAGACAAGCTCCAATTTTGTGCATAAGTTATTTTAGGGAAGGGAACAACATAATGGAAACAACCTGAAGTTTCTCTTTAGCATTTTGTATGAGGTGTGAGCGAGAAGACAAGAAGATCTGCCAGCACATACACATTTAGGGTTTCATACTAAAATTTCCCTAGGTGACTAGCCACTAGTGATGGAAAAGAGTGTGCCAGATTAAGGGAAGGTGGAACTGGAGTTTTCTATGTGACACCTAGGCCCGCTCCCCATTAGTGCTGCCTTTACACAAGAGGGAGCAAAGAGCTGAGTGAGTGTTAAAGATTTCATCGAGAGTGAAATTTCTTCCACCTTAATGCAGAGTTATTTTATATAGTCTCTCTATTAAAACCTCAGGATATGTAAAATATAGAGTGTTACAGAATATGTTTACCATTACAGCTGGAACTGATTGTCCTGAAGTGTATAATTTGGCTTCAAGTTGCTTAGCAGTTTTCTGGGAAAACATCTTATATCTTTGTATGTTTCCATATGAGCACATATATTTTATTCAATGTGAGATGTAACACTAGCAAGACAACATACATGATGTCACAGGACTGGGCCCTGGGCTTTTGCCCATTTTATTTCAAAAATAGACATCACCTATTCTAAGGTAATTCACTGGTTCCTAATGGTAAGACTCAGCCTGACCCCATGGGAATGCCTGACTTAGTTTCCAAACATTTGAAATTTACCGTAATCTATGGTATATGGTTTTCATGTTTGGTTAATTAGTAATACAAATAGTAATACAAGCAGACAAGGAATAAAGAAGCCTTCAAAAAGGGAATGTTTTATTTCTGCTGAACTTCTGAGACTATTTTACCGTTTCTTCCCATATATCACATGCATCTAGGTAGCATTGTTTACACACACACACACACACACACACACACACACACACACCCAGTAACACTGAACCACAGAAATTCCCTTTCTTTCCTATATTGTTTTGACTGAAGTATCAAAAGAAAAAGTGATTCATGTTCACTTTACTTTCTATACTTAAGCAATTCTATATTCTCAATTTTTAAAAGCTTTCATCACTCTAACGTCATCAAAACAGAACTTCAAAATCTGAAACACTTTCCAAAAGCCATTCATTCAACAGTCAACATTTATTTATACACAGTCTTACTTTTTAAAAAATATGCTTTTGGTCAGCTTTTCTTTGTATTATATGTATGTCCATAATTCCAGCATATATATCATTTTCAAAAAATACCAAGTGGGTCTATGAAGGAACTGGATTATTCAACAAATGGATGTATCTACAGTAATTCACCAGCAATCTTTAAAATATGGCATAGTATCCTACATGTAGTAGTATATAATCATTTTTTATTAGTTGATTGGTCAATGATGTTTCTTAAGAAATCTATTTTTAAATATGGTTGTGTTAATAGCAGTGTATGACTTAAGACATTTTCACAATAAATAATAGATGTTATTTAGTTTAAATCTTTACTGAAAACCAAAAACAATAAGGGACGTATCTGTGCTGTAGCTTCAAATATTTAGATTCATTCAATAAAAGTGTATTAAATATCTATAATATTCAAGATAATTGCATCTGTTATAACCCTAGAAATATGAGTGAGCAAAATAGCAAAGTCTATATTGATATGGAGATTGAAGTCTGATCAGAAATGAGCTCTAATTCTATTGTCCTGTTTCTTTTACTTGCAGTTTTTATCATTAGCTTCTCCATACCTAAGCAAAAAGATTCTTTAATATGACAAATTCATAATACTGCATTGCTTTAATGGTGCTGATCATAATTCAATATTTGTACATGAAATAGATTAATGCAAGACTATTAGTGTTTGGTTGTCCAACTGAAATACACCATGTGAAAAATTTAAGGAGGATATGTCAATAATGTACCCTACCTGCACAAACACAAAAAAATCATGACATTTGCTCTAATTTAGTGGTATCCTTTTTCTTTATAATGAGAACAATAAAAGACAGAAAGTCCTTGGCAAGAAATTGTGCAAGCAAAATGGACCCCAAATATAGGCTCAATTTGTGGGTACCTATCTTCTGTTACTGGCATCCCCCAGACAGCCCTGTGAGTATTCATGAATCAGATGACACCAGCACATACAGGATACACAACAGGGGGATCTGACCTCCAGAAGGTAGCTAGGTTTTGGAATGCATGTTGGGGTGTTATTTATGCAGTATGTTTTCTTTCTTAACATTCATGAAATGTGAATATTGTATACCAGAAGTAGTGCATCGAATCCAAGTTAACTGATAAAAATATTAGACCTTCTTTTAAGATCAATGTAAAAGACATCAAAAAAGTTAATAAGGTAATTATGTTCAATTACACGTAACATATTTACATTTTGTATTTCAGCTGTTTTTAACTGAATTGTTCATTAGCTGTGATGTCATTGATATGTTTTCCCAGCAGAGGGAAGCACAACCTCATTATTGTTTTTGTAAAGGGTTGAAATGGGGGGAGTGCGTTATACTACAATTTTACCACATTTTAAAGGAAGTTTGGTTGATATGATATTCCAGCATTAAGTACTGGATATTAATTACGGCTTGACGTCTTTAAGGAAGCATAAAATGAAACAACCCAAATCCCCAGTTCTAGGGAATATCCTACTAGAAAATCAATGTGAAGATAGTGGAATTATCTTCTACTTGACTAGGATACCCAATAAGAATACAAAAGGGCTGCATCATCACCATAATAATTTGAATGGCTTATTTTAAGGCTACATTTTCTTCTTTAATATATTTAAATGAATATTTCTCTTGCCCGTTGCTCTCAAGTTGCTAATGACATACGCAAGCATGTATTTAAACCTGGCTTCTTTTCGGTAATATGAGAAAATTGAAATTTAAGCATTGTGAGGATCTAAAACTTGGATTTATCATATCTGCAATTAAAAAAGCAAAATTCACCATTTAGTATTCTTTAGAATTTTCTTTCTTCTAGATTTCCTTTCTCTTCAGTTGCATTTCCTTAAGTATTCTGGTACTGCTGTGTGCCCCGCATGCACATGTGTGGGTACACACTACTGCTTATGAGTTACCCTGGTATTAGCAGGTTGAAAGATGAAAGTGTTGTAACTTACCGTGGTGTTGTAAGTCTGAACAGTGAGTGAGTGGGTCTCCATTTCTTATATCTTGTCGTCTTGTGCGTCTAAAACAATTACATTTAAAAGGTATTACTGCATTCTTATTCCATCTTCAAATTTGTCACAAGAATTAAGAAGAATCAAAAATCAAAGACACCAGGAGCTTACAGGAAGACATGCATCTGTATCTGATTAAAGAATTTTTTTTTAAAAGCAGCTCATTACACCTGTAGGAAGAGTCTCCAGGTGATCAAAATGGAAAATAATATATAAATGCACTAACAATGCAGCAAAGTCTTTCAAAGTTATAACAGAAGACTCATGGTTTATGTACAACTGGATGCCAATCAGGAAGAATCTAACATCAGGAAACTCTAAAATTCGTAACATTTTAAATTCTGAAGAAAAGGCACAAAATATAGAATACCAGCCCATTTCTTCAATAATCCGAATTAAACTTCTTTTCTCTGTTCACTAATGAGAGAATGAACTTGAAAATTAAAATTGACGATTGTTTTCTTTCTCTTAATACTTATACGTAATTCCTTACATAGCCTTTTGTTAAATTTAAAAGTATTAATTCTATAAAATCTATTTTTTTAAGATTTTATTTATTTGTCAGAGAGTGAGCAAGAGTGGTGGAGAGGAGCAGAGGGAGAGGGAGAAGCAGACTCCCTGATAAGCTGGGAGCCCAATGCAGGACTCAATCCCACGACACTGGGATCATGACCTGAATGGAAGGCAGACACCTAACTGACTGAGCCACCCAGGCATCCCTATGAAATCTAGTTTTAAGTTACTTTTGAATTTTTCTTTTTGGTTGTTATATCAACCTTTTTTTAATAAAACATTTCTTTCATGATCTTACGGCTATGACTGCAGACTGATTTACCTGTGAAATGAATAAAAGAAGAAGTGCGGTAACAAATATTGTGGAGCAAGTCTGCCTCCTGTCAGAGGAAGATGAGAGAAGGAGGACTCACCTCTAAGAAAAGCCAAATTTGCTATAAAAATCTAAAGAGATTTCTTCCTACATATTGCTGCTCAGATATTAGTTGCAACACATTCTGGGTGTCTTCTTTCTTTACTTTGTTGGTGGTTGACTGGGAAGGAGGTTGTCTCTAGCTATCTCAGTGCAAGCAGGATATGGAGATTGAGAAAGAGGCTAAAAATGGAGATTGGCTACATATAACAAAATGAAAAAGACTGGGGACACTTGCCCAACTGTTTTCTGTGTCAATGTTAATTAATATTGTCTTGCTGCAAAGTTAGTTACCACCCCTGAAAAGAGTTCTCACAAAGGCCATTGAGATTTGCAAACATGGAAATCATTACTGTATTCATAAATTTGGAAGACTAAAGTATTTATAGATTTCTATTTGTAGAATTGGTGAGACTATCAAACAGATGTTGCGCATTTCAAAATTGAGCCAACAAGGGAACTTGTGAAACACGAACCACAAAGCATTTGGGAAGGCATTTTTTACTGCCATTTAGGCTTTTGAAAAAAGCCATCACAAGGAATATATAAATTGTGAGGCCTGCCTCTAAACATCCTTTTCAAAGACACATGAAATTGGATTAAGTAAAATCTTCAAGGCACAACAAAAATGTGTTAATGATAATTCAGTATGGAATTGTAGGTATGCAATAAACATATTTTAAATATATAATATACAGGTTTTTAACTTTTTATAGATGTAGTTATCTCATTTTTATCTTCTTTCTTGTTAAAAAAAGCTTAAAATTTGAATGAATTATTGCTAATTTAGGTAATATATACTTTCACGTGGAAAGGTAACGGTACTCATTTTTAATTCAAGCATGAATTTTATGTTTTCCAATATTAAAAGTACCTAGATCTGAGTGATATTAAGAACCACAGAAGTTCAACCTTAAATTTAATTTTATTGCTATAAAAACTGAATATTCCTATTTATTAAACTATCCATGGTTTCTTTACTCAGTAACACATCATCTCCACACTAAACTTTTGTTTCAGTTTTAAACTTCTAGCAAAATCGGTTGGTTTATGAAAAAATATAAACATGTTATTTTAATTCTGAATGTTGAAGGCTTAAGGAAATTGCATTTATTAAATGGAATTAGCTACTACTACATTTACATTTAATATTAACAAGATAACTTTTAATCTATATGGACTGATTATATATGAAAAATTTAAGTTGTACACGATTTAACACAGCCAATGTTATCTGAAGTATGTAATCAAATGATTTAAGTACATATTAGGGTTATTCCTTTCCCCTAGAATTTTTTCAAAACATGTCAAATGACCCAAATGTAGAACACAGCTTACTGGCAATGAAAAAAATCCACATCACAGCTTCTTGTAAAACATTAACTACAGTAAAAAATAAAACAAATTTTATTGCTCCTAAAATGCAGTGGACCTTGATAACTCTGATTTCTATTTTATGTTTCAAAAGGCTGATGTGCATACTGTTAATCTTTGGGTTTATATTAGCAAGATATTGTGTATTACTTTCATTGCTTGTTTCTGAAATACTAGTAAATATCTACAGAGAAAGGTAGCCATATGTTTGCTGTAGAGAGTATGCTGAGGTGAATATTTTGTCAGATTAAGAAAGTGTTTTTATTTTTTGAAGCGTAAGTACACCCAGTTTGTATACAACTTTTAAGATGTGTCTAAGAGTTCCCTGAAGGTTAATAGTATTCCTCAACAGTACTGTATCAAATAATCAAATGCCTGTTTCTAATGCCCACAATCTCCTAGACAGCAATGTATAGCCATGTTTTATCTAAACATATTATTTTAGATAGCTTCTAGGCATATCTTAGTAACTTTTAAGCATGTCCAAAAAAGATGCTGTTAAGTATTATGAATATGCTTAAAATATTTGTGTAATATATACAAAGATTAACAAATAGGTATTTCATCATGTGGTTTTATATTTCAAGTTCAAACACTACAAACACAAGATGATACTATGGTAATAATGTGGTCTTTAAATTTGGGGGAGGTCGAATAAATATATATTTTGCGTCAAATAAAGATATAATATGATGCTAGTCAGTCAGCATTATACAAAAAATGTAGTATCTTTTAAAATTGCAAATATTTTTCTTGACTTTTTATAATTGAATCCATGTATACTATCTAAGACTCTAAAAGTAAATAAATTACTTTCTTTGCAAATTTTCCATTCATCCAATGACATAAATTGCCTTATTAAAATTTAAAACCAGGATAGAATGTTGCTGGATAGAAAAAGAAGAGTATTTTTGGAGAGAAAAGCATTTTGGTCAAAAGGCACATGGCCCAGTTTAGATTCTGTTTCTGACTTTCTCTGTGGCTTTGGCCCTCATTTCTCCCCCTGTGTAAAATGAAGTTGGAAAACTATAATTTCCGAGTGTAAACATTCAAGGACGTTACTGTAATGTTTTAGATTTCCCTCAGTAATTTATTAAAACCATTTGTTCCATTATATTTGGTACCCAACTATAATTATACATGTTTTTCTGATTGTTTTGACTATTTAAGAGAAAGGAAAAAACCCCCAAACCCCTTTAAACCACTCTTCATTCATCAGAAAAAGGTGATGTACTTATATGAAGAAAGCTGTTTAAAAACAGATTCAAGTAAGATAAATAGCAAACATTTGTATTTATTTCTGGTATTTCTCCTACCTCTTTGCAGTGGGAAAATAGCGAGAGCATGAAGAGCCATCCCAGGCACAGTAAGGGTCTCGGGCGAGGCAGCACTCTGCGCAGGCTTTCCCATAAATATCGCAGCGGTGTAACGGGAGCTGAGCAACCCCCGTGGTGGAACCGATATATAGTTGTTGCTATGGGAAAAGTTTAGTATTATGTCAAAACAAAAAGGGTTACTTATACATCAAAAATAAATTTATGCTAGTGGGTTCAAAAAAAATCCCATTATTGGCAATTTTGTCAAAAGCCTGGCAGATCATATGACCATTTAAAAAGACCAAGAGCAACATCTAAATATTTGATAAAACAAGTGTATTTTAAAATACAAAACCAAGGGAAGACAGTCAAGGGTATATATCAGTTATATCTCAATAAAGATAAAAATTTAAATAAAAGAAGACACTGAGTAATATAACTTTCAAATCTTCAATGTTTTTGTTCTTGGAAAGCTTTCTTTTTTTTTTTAACTTCTCTGCTGTTTGTAATTTTGATTAATCAGCACATTTATATTGCCATGTATTCTCTTAGTCTTGAAGCAGGGATCATTTGCATTTGACTCATGGGTGCCCTGTATCATTGCCTGTGATATAGTCTGCCCTCCTATAAGTCCTCCAGAGGAAAGCTTTGGTGCTCGCATTTTAAGTTTCACTCAACATCAACTGTCTTGTCCTTGCACTACCTTCAGAAAGATTACTCTAAACCAGACAACTAAACTACTTTTCATCTGAAAGATCATCAAATGGGGAAATGTACAGTCTGGCTGGTGCAGTAGACTTGAACACAAAACTTGGCTGTTGTGGAAAACTGCTATGTTGACCATCAAGGTACCTGGATTCTAAATCTTGCCCTGTATTAATTCTCTGTGTCATCTTGAGCCACTCTCCTAATTTTTCTAAGACTTCACTTTCTTAGTCACAAAATGAGCATGTTTAACTAGATCTTTAAAGTATGCATTCAGATAAAATGTTCTACAATGCCATTATACTCAATGAATTTGCAGTTACCAAATGAGGTAGAATATGGGGGGAGAAACTTTGTGGCAGCAACCAAACCAGGATTTCAGTACAGTTTTAAAAATGCTTTTTACGGTTTAGCCAATGTAGCATTTGAGGAACTGCAAATACATGTAAATACAAGATAAAATACAAATAAAACTGTTTTGTAATTTCTCCACATTTTGCTGTAATTAGTATCATAGCTCCTTTTCTTGTACTAAAGGACTGAATGACTACAGTAAGCCTTAAATAAAAGTTGAATAAATACTGAACCATGTATTGGTACACATGGAAAAGACTTCAAAATTGTATTTTAATTTCTCTACAATGTAAATGAAAAAGAAGTTGTAAAAAAGCTAATATTTGAAACGTGGTGTGCTCTTTTAATATTACAAATTGCCTGAAAGCAATGGATATAATTAAAATTACATTTACAAATTACTTTCAAAGATGAACTACATATATAAACATAAATTGAAGATTGATGTATCTATTAGAATCTATGAAATTAATGAGGTTATAAAAAGTATTTAAACACAAAATAATTCTGTGTTTAAAGCTAACCAGCTAACATAAAAAGAAAGATAGGGATAATAAAAGAAAAGGAAAGGGAAATAAGGGAGAAAACGTAATACAGTAAAAAGTAAGCCATTATTAAAACAGTTACCTTGGTAACTATTACCCTGATTCATATTGCTTATTGCATTTCAGTAGTACATCAATATTCTAGTTTAGTAGTAAACAAATATGTACTATGGATGTTCAATCTCTTAATATATTCATCTTTTATTATGAACCAAAAGATCCTATAAACCATGGCAAATTAAAAAAAGCAGTAGTTGAATCCTTGGGAGGAAAAGATGAGTATTGTTAAGCTCTCTGTCAAGAGAAAATTATGTTGATTTGTACTTCTCTTAAAGCTTCCACAGAACCAGAATGTGGTAAAAGTTCGCTGTGATTTGAAAAATATTAGTAAAGAACTATTGGAAGGAACTTTTCCCCCCTCCTATCCTTTCTCTCTTTCATAATCATATTAAAAAAAAAAAAAAGCTTAGTTTGTACTGAAAGCAGGCAATCACAATGCAATAAAAAATGAAATAAATGTGACATCTTTTTAAAATTTTTATTTATTTTTTTGTTTCTTTTTCAAAGAAAGAGAGAGGGAGAGAGATGGACAGCATAAGCAGGGGGAGGGGCAGAGGGAGAAACAGACTCCCTGCTGAGCAGGGACCTTGATGTGGGACTTAATCCCAGCACCCCAGCATCATGACCTGAGCTGAAGGCAGACATTTAACCAACTGAGACACCCAGGTGCCCAACATGAGACATTGAAACAAACTAGTTAAAATAGGGTAGCCATATCCACAAGCATGGTTGGCATTGGTGAATATGGACTTGTGGAACCCTGTATTGTGGTCAGAACTATTTAAAAAACTACTGATCAAGTTGGTCACACCAAATCAAAAGATCTCTAGGACTGGCCAATAACTTAAGAAGCATAAGCAAAATTCATACTTACAAATTTTTAAGAATATGAAATTTTAGTTGGGAAGGAGTTATTACCTAAATAACAGTATCTAAATCTGTCATATTCCTTTAAGGAGAAAACCAGAGAAATTAACATGGGAATTAAAAACCAAAAATAGGGCAACCAAAATTACTGCCACGAAAACTTAAAAGTGTGATAAAATGCCCCAAATTAAATACAACTAGTCTAGTTTTCATTTTATAATTATTCTGCAGTACTACTAAAGAATTGCAAAACTAATTATGCTATCTAGAAAAAATATAGGGGAGGCTTGCAAGCACCATTGAACATAATCCAATCCCTAGCAAGTAACCTGATGTGCTTTTTCTGCCCAATTTAACATCACCACAGGCTTTCTCACTATCCTCCTTAACAAGTTTTGGGTCATAAGCAGGCGATGAGTCCATTTATCTAGAAAATTAGTTGCAACACTATTTGACCCTCTTGAAACTACTGCCTCACTTTTAAAATTTCCATGAGCATGAGTAAAACTGATTCAGATCTAAATGAAATCAAACTGCCAGTAACAGAAAATGAAGGCTAGGAATACTTCTCTTGTATCATGGTATTTTAAATTGATGAACTGTTTCTGGTATTTTGGGTGTTTTGTGTGTGTGTGTGTGTGTGTGTGTGTATGTGTGTGTGTGTGTGAGAGAGAAATGTGTTACATTTAATAGGCAATTCTTAAAGTACTTAAAAATACTTAAACAAAAAGAAATTTTTTATAAAACTATATGTAACATAATTAAGAATGGCAATGAAACCAAGCAGAGAATAAATAAATAATTTAAAAAATCATTAAAGGAAAGAATATCCCAGTCTAGCTTCCTTTCTGGAAATCCCCGGATTTCCTTGCCAACATTTGACAATTTTTAGATTACAAGAACAGGTGAACACATACTTATGAAGTGTAAGATAACAGTATCAGGGTCAATAATATCTGCACTCTGAGTTTCTCTAAATATCTTAGAGATTATCAATCTATTTTGATATGTAAGTGTGGAAAGGATATACACTGAGTTTTATTGGCACAGTATTTTAGTGTCATGTACAGGGATAAAATATGTAAACAATTCAGCAATAAGATTAGCCAAATGATTTTCATATTTAACAATTTTACATATAAGTTTTTGGAATGGTCAGTGAAGGGCTTTCTACTCCATTGTGGCTTTTTCTTCTAGGTTATTTAATAATGAATTTCAACTCTGTATCCAAGTTTTTTTTTGTTTTTTTTTTGGTTTTTTTTTTTTAGTTACCACTGATACACTGAATAGAAAGCTATGTAACATTTATGGGAAAAAGATAACTTATTAAAAGTTAAAATTATATTTGTTTTGTATATATAATTTAACATTTAGAAGTCATTTGTGTTTCTTAAGTGTCTTGCCAAAGCATTCATTCAATGTGAATGAAAAGCCTATTAACACACTGCCCTTAACGTTTGAATTCATGGAGTTTAATAACTTATCACTGGCAGTGACTATTTTGCTGTTTTCCTTTTATATGCAGCCAAGCTAAATGTTTTCTCTAGTACACAATACTACTGAAAAAGCAAAGTTAACTTTTGAGTCAAGATCCTCCAAACATATACAGCCCAGTGCAAAATTATATTAGCTTATAAAATAAATATTGTTTATTCATGCAAATTAAATTAAATGATAAACTTATTTATATTCTCAAATATACACCAATGCTATTTTTAAGGATAGATGAAAATAATTACTAAGCAAAATTTTACAATGACCCAAAAAAGAAATGCTATAAATGAAAATTTACAACCAACAATGATCTAAGAAATATATTTATAGGAATGTCAGATTGGTCAAAAACAGAGGGCAATAAAAAGGATCTTTAATTTTCACTCTACTAGTTTATTGTAAGAATGTTCTTTCTTTTTGGGGTGGGAGACTACTGTTAATAAAGCTGTAAAATCTGATGAATCATAACTATGTTTATCTAACTGAAACATTAAATTAACAAAATGACTGTAATACATAATGATAGTACCTGCTTGGTGGAAAGCTCCATTGCTGAAATAAAAGTTGGCTCCTAAAGAAGAAAAAGAAAATGTGAACTGTTCGGTCAATTAGAAAAGTCAGTCATTAATATTAATGAACATAGAACACCAACATAAGCTTTCAGAGAGTTAACTTCAGTGCCTACAAGAAGCAATGTAATCGGGAAATAAGATACATGAAGGAAGGTGCATGCATGAGTAGCGAAGATGTGGCACAGACAAAAGGAGGATACTAATGTCTTCCAGTCAAAGACATACATATCTGCAGTTGATCAAGTTGGGTTATTGCTCACGGCAGTAAGGGAGACCAGGAGACTGTGCAGCAGGAGTCTTGGAAAGAACACAGAGGTTTTAGGCCTGTGTTGGTTGATTTGAGAGAGGGTTCAAGGAAGTGGTGTTTGCTCCACATGGGATGTCGAAGAAAGCAGAGGTAATTCTATGATTACGTCTCTTCATACATCTTATTTAGGAGGAGGGAAGAGCAAAATGAGGCTAAAGTAATAGTTGGTAAAGAAGTAGCCATTACTCATAGAGGCAGGATAGGGGGATATTTGGTCATTTTTTGGTGGTTTGGACAATGTTTATGGTCTTGTCTGTTTTCAGACAGGATTACAGAAGGGTCTTGCTTTTTTCTTGATTCCTCATGGTCACAGAGTAGCCTTGCCTGATGCTTGTGTTCTGTGAAAACTTGCACGCTCACATGGAGAACACTGGGCTGTGAGTGCCAGGCCAGCTCCCAATAACACCAACTACAAGTTGATAGTATTAGGCTAGTTTCCAGCTGTCAAGGACTGTGAGAGCTCAGAGTAGGATGAGATTACCTTATTACCAAAATGACTGTGTAATGTGCAAAGGCCTACACTACATGTTTTTGCCAGAGTACACGATCTCTTCAAATTCTATCAGCAGGCTATCTAGAGATAATAACTAGGGAAGTAATAACGACCAATATATTTCAATGAGTGTTCTGCTGAAGCCCATCATGAGCATATATAGTTTGAATAAATAAATACCATTCTTTGATTAACTTAGACTACCAAAAGGCTATTCACCGGAACACATTACCTTACATTCTCTCAGATTTACTTTCACTGAACTGTGCTCCATTGTATCCTTCACCAGTGACATACTAAATACTAAGAAGGAAACTGCTTGAGGGTTTCAGAGGTGGCTAATGAGAAAGAGGCTTAGGTGGGAAGAAGAATCTTAGAAGGCCTCACTGTGTAGGTGACTATAGCTGAGCCCTGAACAAAGTGTGAAGAGCTGGATTCTGAAGCCAAACTGCATAGATTCAAATGCAAACCTGGCCACAAGTGTGATAGTAGGGGAGGTATGTAACCTCTCTGTAATTCACTTTTCTTATCTTAAAAATGAGTATGATGGTATCTTCCCTGTAGGATTGATGAAAAGACTAAATGAGTTCATAAAGGCAAAGTACTTTACAAATGTGCTTGTAACAGAGTGTTTATTCAAATCTCTGTCTCTCTTTGTCTCTCTTTCTCTCTCTCTCTCTCTCACACACACATACACAACCCCCATATCTTTTACTTGCTTTAGCTTTCCTTTCTAGTGCTTATCACTACCTGGAAATACACACATACATATTGTATTAATGGGTATATATAATATATATAATAACATATATATGATATAAATATAGCATTTATCTTGTGTCTTGTGAGTTTCCCCTTATACCCCAAAGCAGTGTCTGAGGTAAGTTCTTATCTGCAGGTAGGGAACAGGAGTAAGGAATGAAGGATTGAAAGGAAGGAGAAAAAGTAAAGAAAAAAAAAATTTGTTATGGAAGTCACCATGAGAGAAAATCTGAAGAGAGTAGACAGTGACTCTCAAAATTGTTCACTGAGGTTTACACCAAGAAAAGTATTTATTCATTCCATTATTCACTGGATGCCCACAGGAGTGTTAAATCTCCCACACCTCCAGCTGGAACTCCTGTCCTTTTGCCTGCTGTCAGAGAAGTCCTGGGGCATACAGTGAGGCTGACAGGATGTAAGGAGGGGCAGCACAGGCATCTCATATTTTTTCTTTCCTGTTTGTCCCCATAAGTCACCCCCCCCAGCCCCCACCACACACACACACACACACACACACACACACACTCTAATTTAGGAAAGGGATGTTTGGCTGTTCAGTCACTGCTATATTCCTAGCACCTGGGATTGTTTCTGGTATTTATAAATTCTCAAAAAAATCTGTTAAATGAATTGAGTGCATGAAAGATAAATGAATGTTCTGCCAATTTTTCCTTTCCTCTCCTATCTCTTCCACTTTCCCCATTGCATTCTGTTCCTTCCTCTTAATTTGTCTGAGATAAAGGCAGTCATCTTTTAAAAAGATCTTTCCTTAATCTTTCAGTTCAGCTGAAATTCCTTTGAAAATAATCTGAGGATTCTATACTCACTGTCTTTACTTGTTCATATCCCATTCAATGCCATTTATTCCTCAGCCCACTGAGGCTAGCCCCTCCCCTAGAGAGGTGGTCTATGAATCTCAGAAGCAGAAATCACTAATGAACTATACTGGTGAATGAACACTTTTATTCTATATTTATTATTACTGGACTTCTTTGTTTTATATGGCAAGACTGACTACTCATTTCTTTTGACTGCTTCCTCTATTAAATTTCATTATGCCTTGGAACTCTTTTTTTTTTTTTTTTGAGATTTTATTTATTTATTTGTCAAAGAGAGAGAGAAAGAGAGTTCACAAGCAGGGGGAGGGTCAAGAGGCAGAGGGACAAGCAAGCTCCCCACTGAGAAGGGAGCCTGATGTGGGACTCAATCCCAGGATCCTGGGATCAAGACCTGGGCTGAAGGCAGAAGCTTAATCTAGAGAGCCACCCAGGTGCCCCTGATTTCAACATTCTTAAGTTAAGATCCTAGAATGTCTTAATTAAAAGAAAATTATTTATTTTTTGGACCAGGAAATTAGTAGCAGTTTGGAATAGGATGTGCTATTTGCTGCCGGCCGTTGAATTTTAATAGACAATATATTAAGATGACATCCATTTAAATAAGCTATATTTCTTTCTGAGAAATAGCTGGTGGTGAATACGACTTCCATTTAAAACAGATGTAGCTTCATAAGCATTTTTTCATGAAACTGGTTTCAATTGCAAAGTTAATTGGTGTTCAAGTAAAAATGAAATTAAAAACTTAGCATCTTTTCAAGATTTTCTATGACTCTAATTTACCATTTTTTTTTCAGATATTTTAATCCAGTCCTTATTAAACTTTCGTGCTTGCAGAGCTTTTCAACCTGCTGATCCCAGGAGAATCTGACATAACTCCCTGGATGCTAAAGCACGCGGGCGCTCCTTTAGAATGAGTTAATAGACTAGGTTTTGGAAAGCATCAATTATGTTTTACATTTGAATAAAAATTAAACTCTTTCATTTGTTAGCTCAGCTGTTCACGGAGTATTGCATAAATTGAGTTTAAAATGCATGTGTTATCAATGTAACTGACTTGCCATCCTTTGCAGTCAATAGGACTATAAATAAAATCCATTGTACTAAATGCACGGCAACTTGATGTAACACTCCACTGTCTCAAAAGTAAAATTTTCCTTGGACTGGAAAGAAGACCCCATCGTAAAGTAATAATACCTTACTACTAATATTAACTTACTAGTACAATTAATTTGTAAAAAACTTTAAAAATTTAAGGAATTAAGAAACTGAGGCTCAACTGACTTTAGTCAAGTTGTTCAGAATCACTAGTAAATATGATCCAAATACAGACTTACGATTACAAGTAATACGTGGAATTAGGTTTGTGTCTTGGTACTTCAGTACCATTTCAATACCATTTTGAATATGTAATGGCAATTTAAAATCATTTCCTATACCAATGCCAATTTTATTTCACATTTTATTACCTATTAAAATTTTATTCTAAAATGGAAATTTCTGTTACTGAGGAATATTTTTCTTTCTATACTCTGATTGGGATTTGATTTCACCCAGAATAAAAAAAGTCTCTTGGATGTAACTGAAACCAATGGAATGTTCTGTGATTAGCCAGGGTGTTTTCCTAAAACCAACCTCAAGATGGCAATGGACATAGTACTGGCTTTAATTCAGGCTTTTATATGAAGTTTGGTTTATTCAGCCTAGCAAGGACACGTACTGAACATGGTCTCCTGGAGATGATATTTTGGTAAAATTAACTTGTTGGTTGACATTAAACTCCAAGAGTATCAGATACTACTATGACTCTAAATCTGTTCCTTGTCTACTTATATTGTCAAAATACTGTTATGCTCAGGTTAACACTTTTTAATTTTATTTTATGTTAAATGGAATGACATGCAAGGTTCAAACAGAAATACAGAAACTGTAACATTTCTCTGCTTGTTTCACTGTACATAGCAATCGCTTTAATGTGTTGTGTTTTTTCCCTCCCACTACAAAATTAAACAAAGTTTGACAGTGAAATATTCCAATTGCTAGACCACAATATATGTATGAACTCTGCCTGATAGAATAGAATGTTAAAAGTAAATATTTCTCTAAACTCTGCCCAAATATGTTTTGTCTACTTCAGTGCCAGAGAAATAATAATGACAATAATGCATAACAGAGAATATGGGAGAGAACTGGAACATTTATCTATGGAAGGAGATGTGTCCCAGGTTGCAAACTATCTTTTTTTTTTTTTTTTTAAAGATTTTATTTATTTATTTGACAGAGAGAGATCACAAGCAGGCAGAGAGGCAGGCAGAGAGAGAGGAGGACAGAGCTGATCTCACTTGTCCTTGAACTTTTATTTTTTACGTGCTGTTAAACCTTTCCTGATCTCTGGTTGACGACTGAAGATGAATTGGAGGCACAGGGCAATTAACTGTGGAGCCGAGCTGTTAGTGGGCTACTGGAGAGGACACTGAACTTTGCAAGAAGGACTGTTAACTGGAAGGGGAGAGAGATAGGCCAGATACTGTTGGAGGTGGAAGAAAATTTTGGAAATTAGTATTTTAAAAGTCATAGTAACTTAA